TTGAAAGTTGGCTAACAATGGAATCTAAAACACTCGTCTGAAGTATTGGACGCTGATTTCATGTCCCAGTGGGTAAACCATCTATCACTGAGATACTGGTACATCTAGTTAAATAGTTTTAAATAGGCAAGACAATAAGATTCTGAATTCCTGTGCTATCCATCATCAAGCAAATAACTAGCGCTTATTGGTAACTAGCTTCGAGAGGTGATCGTTGAAGTCCCAATGAGAAGTTGTGACCAGTAGAGTCAACCAAGTTGAACACGAGGACATGAAGACAGTGGTGCCTTATCGTGAACTGACACCACTGACCACTGGGTTCCAACCCAGTGGCTCTACGGTAACATACTGACCACGTAACATGGGTTCGATCTCTGGCGGTGTCGTGGGTGCGCACCGCTGAGGAGTTCCATACGAGGAAGAAACAGCTATTCAGTGCTTCCAAGTTTCCAATGTCCCTCCAAAGAATTCCAACCTAGAATATTTGAGTTTTCATATTGCCTAACTGATTGATGAGTAAACTTTTCATTGTTGCAGGCTGGTGATAAATTTTTGTTAGTTAAATGAGTAAGTTTATTTTTTAAAGATTTTGACAGGGATCAATAAAAAAAAATATGTGCTGAAGTTTTTCCACATGAACAATATGATATTATCAATATAAAATACCTGAAAAAAAGTAGTTTTTCTTAAGTAAGTGATAAACCATTCAACTGCTCAAACAGTAATCCAGGTTTTATACAGACATTTTAAATACATATTATCTATTCATGGGTGACTTTATAGGCCACCTTATTACAGATTAAAATAACCAAGTAAGTTTCCTTATTTCGGCGGTAAAGTCAGATTTCCATAGAATAGAGGTCTTATTGGTTATTTCAGTCTATTCAAGTCTAAAACGTTTCTGGAATTTAATGTAATTCCTCTATCCAGGATGTCCATATTTTGCCAATCAACTTTGTATCCACTGTTGTTCATATGCATTGAGAAGAGCGAAGATAAATCATAATGTTTCACTATAAATTGATGTTCATGCAAACGTATACGAATAGAGCGATCACTTTGTCGGATGTTATATTTTTTTCAACCTAAGGTTCCCATGATAAATTTAATGCAACTTTTACTGATTTCTAGTCAGTCAGTCAGTCAGTCAACATTTGCATTGGACCTGGCATTACCGCGTAACTGTCCAAATCGGTACAACTCATACGTGCACATTAAAATGCATGATATTAAGATGAAAGACAGAGAAATTGAAGGAAATGTAACTTGAATCCTTTGAAAGTCATGAAAAGACAATAAGGCAAGCAGTGAACAGCAAATAACGAAATGTAACTTTCAAAGAATCTAGTTAGAAGACGTAATTTATTGACTAGATGTAATGATAAACTGTTCTGAACACTCGAAAGGGCTAAATTGTGATCTGACAACCAGCATGACGATAATATCTGCTTGCGTCTGCACTAAAGTGATTGTGTCTGAACCACAGTATACAGTTTTAATCCAACAGCCTTCAGTTTTCACTTCATCTTAAATCTTTTTTTAGATTACTTTGTAAGGTGCAGTAGGTATTGAGTAGACATATGTAACACATGTTCCGAAAACTAAGCCTGGGAAGAACCTCGCCTGGTTAACTAGTTCACTGGTTACTAGCCGGTCCGCAGTTCAAGTACGACATTCGGAAACTGAAGGACGAAACTACAAAGGAAATCTTCACATCAGCCATCAAGACAAAATGGGAGATATCGAGGAACATCCCTGAAAAAAACTGTGTGGAAGAACACTGGAAGTCTTTGGAAGAGATGTGGAAAGAAACCTGCACAGCCGTATTAGGAAGGAAGAAGAAAGAAGGCGAGGAATGGATCCCGACGGATCTCCACATGGAAGCTGATAGAGCAGGGAGAGGAGGATGGTGAAGCAGAAGATAAACCAGTGCAGCGCAAGGATGCTCAAAGACAAGAGGAACTGAGTACAATGTATAAAATACAACACTGGAAAAAGAAGTGAAGAAGAGTGCACGAAAGGACAAAAGACACTTCCACGAAACACTGGCAAGTGAAGCAGAACAGGCTGCCTCAGGTAGGAGAGACAGAGACCTGACAACATTGTATCAAATAACCAGGTTACTGTCTGGGAGGGAAGAGATCAACGCAGACGAAACCAATAAAAGATGATGAGGGAAATTTAATTACGAAAGAGAAATAAAGGAAACGATGTGCCGACCACTTCAAGAAGCTCTAAAATCGACCACCACCACCATCTACACTTCGTCCAGAAATACCACCAGCAACCCACCCGCTGAACTACAAGTGAACATAAATCCTCCAACAATGATCGAAGTCCTGAATGCAATAAAGCTACTGAAATGTGGGAAAACGATAGGACTAGATGGAATCCCACCCGAAGCACTGAAAACAGACGCAGAGACAACAGCGACATGCTCACACCACACCACTATTGCAGAAGGTGTGGAAGGAAGAGAAGGTACCTGGCGACTGGAAGAAGGGTTACCTTGTCAAACTCTCGAAGAAGGGAGACCTCAGTGTTTGCAAGAACTGGCACGGAATCACTCTCCTGTCCACACACAGCAAGTAAAATATTAAGCCGCATCATCCTGGAGAGGCTGAAGGATGCACTGGATTCAAAACTACGACCGGAACAGGCTGGCTGGCTGGCTTGAGGAAGTACAAATCATGTGCAGACCAAATTGCAACGCTACGCTACGCATCACCATAGAAGAGTATACAATGGCAGTCCACTCCCTACCTCAACTTCATCGACTTTGAAAAGGCCTCTGACAGCGACGACTGAGAGGTAATTTGGAAACTGCTTCATTGCTACAGAATACCGCAAACCTTTATCCACCTCATTCAACAACAGCTATATGAAGACGCCACATGCCAAGTAATTCACAATGGGAAGCTGAGTGGTGCTTTTGAAGTAAAGACAGGAGGGAGTAAGACAAGGCTAACACCTACTATCCCCTTGATATTCCTGATTGTAGTCGACTGGACTGGATCATACAACAAACAGTGAGGAGTGAGAAGAGGGGGATACGCTGGTTGGACTGAGGAAAATAACCTAGAAGACTTGGATTTCGCCGATGATGACTTGTGTCTGATGTCTTGTTGCACAAACTTGAAGATCTACAGGCAGAAACTAACAAGTTGTCAGAAGAGGTGAGGCAGGGCAGCGAAGACGGGACTTCCTTCAAGTGAATATAGAGAAGACAGAGGTGATGAAGATACTCAACGAATAACAGTATCAATAACAACAAGCTCCAATCACCATCAACGGGAGAAACCTAATGCAAGTAATCTGCTCCACCTATCTAGGAAGCATCGTTTCAACTACAGGCGACACAGGCACACACGAGGACGTCAAAGTCAGACAGGATCGGAAATACAGCAAGACAGACTTTTATTAGCCTGAAACCAGTGTGGAGATCTTCTGCACTGCACTGCACTGCACTGCACTCAGCATAAAGTGTGAACAATATCCGGATTTTCAACACCAACTTCAGTCAATTCAGTGCTGCTGTGTGATGGTTCAGAGACTTGGTGCCTTACGAAAGGGATTTCCAACAGACTACAGACATTCATCAACAACTGTCGCCTACGCTGGCTCGTTACTGAAGCTCAGATGACTAGAATAATGAGAATAAGCAACAATGAACTCTGTCAGGCAACGAACCAACCAATAACCTATTACCCAACAAATATGCAGGAGGAAGTGGAGATTGATTGTGCATACAGTGAGAAGGCGGACTGGGGAAATGAAGCGCCAGACCAGACCCTGGAGTGGGACGCCGACTGGAAGCGACGAGTTGGGTGTTGGTGTGAGGTTGACATGGTGGAGATCATGGAGATCGAGGAGGAAATGAGAGCTTGTGGGCAGTCGTGAAGCCAGGTTGAAAAGTTTGCAGAGAAGTGAGTGGAATGGAGACGTGCTACTGAATTTGTGTGTTCCATTAGGAACCCAAGGGACAAATAATAATAAGCCTGGGAAGGTTAGCATCCTCTCACCAACTGACTTACCTCATTTACCTAAACTTCTATATTTGGCTTCTACGTTACTGACTCATGCGATCCCACGATACACGGTTTATGCTATGAAGGCATTGCTATTTGAAGTGCCTAATCCTTCACATGATATCTAACTTTAATGACCACATTTCACGGTCAGATATTGGGATAGAGCGAAACTGTAGAGCCTATAGGCTAACAGTGGTAGAGCTATTGAACCCTGTTTAACAACAGGAAATTACAAGTCTCATAACAACAACTGATACTCTTTGCACGAAAGGTGGCTATCGTGTTTCTGTAGCTTAGTTGATAAAGCTCTAGCGTTAAAAGCAAACTGTCCAGTAAGAAAAACATCACTGCTCACTGAGATGCGGGTACACCCAGCTGACGAGTCCCAAATTAGACGAAACGCGCGTCCTGGATTCCTCTGCTAGTATCGAAGGCTAATGAAACTTTAGAGTAGTTAACTTTACCCTTCAGAGGCATTTGGGTGTCTCACCAGCGCCGCAGATGACACAATTTGGAGCCACATCAACCAGGCTTTTTGTAGTCTTGTGCGGGGTTTCATCAGTCACCAACCTACCAAGACTGACCTGATTGCCCAAGCGATTGGTTCACTCAACCACTTCACTCCCTAATGTCAAATAGGTTGACAAGGTAGAAGGGTAGTGCAGCAACAATTTGCATTTCAGTGACCAGAAACCTATGCCAGTCACCTTCAAATTGCTAGTCGAGGTGTTCAGGAGACTCCTCATCTTGTTAGTATCTTCATCAAATGGGGCCATGCTATTTGGATAATCTAGGTTCACTAAGGAGTCTTCTGCAAGAAGGTCAGCTTCTGTAGAGTCACGGAAAACTTGACTACTTTTTGTAGATATAAAATCGACAGTGTAGACTTGTATACAGTTAATAAGAAAACGCTTATAATTGCCAAGCGGAACACCAAGATCAACAATAACATTAATACCACTGACTTACTTTTTTCTCTTGCTGTTTATTATCAGGACTTTTACCATTTGATGTATCCGATACATCACTGCTATCTGAATCAGACAAATCTAATGTATTCATTGAATGTGTTGATTCCACATCACTCAGAGATGAATCAGATCCTTTCAATGTTGGGGTTTGACTCTCTGATACTGATGGTCGTGATCTACTACTACTCGTACTGGTACTGGACAATGTATCTTTGACGGACATAAATTTTTCTAAATTACTGATTGATGCTTTCGGGATTACAACAGGACTAATATTAGCATAATGCTTTAGTAATAATGGTTCTAAACGATATGCCTGAAAAGGAAAGGTTTTTAGAGAGAAAAGAAAAGTCAATAACATCTTAAAATTATGAGGTAGGAAAATTAAAATATTTTGCTTAATATTATTTCTAAAAATTAGTCGATGCGTGATGATAACCAGTTTAAAATCAATAAATCTCCTGAAACCTGTCCAGTGCTCACTTTAACAAACTTCGAGATGAGACTTCCCAAAGTTGTGACCGATTGGGTAAATCATGTTAGACGTGACGACACATACTCAGTGACAGGATTGGATGAAGGTAGCGCTACATTACGAAGTAACAGAAGTAGGAAATTTTAGACGACTCGCTTTTGATCCATGATCATAGCGAAGTCTAGATATCATGGGCTCTATTGATCACTGGATCATAGACTAAGAGCGGCTGAGGAGTCAACTGCCAGGATGAAACAGTTGTTCATTGCTGCCAGGTTTTCAACAGTTTTCTAACTGATTAATATTACCTTGACAAATTTTTTAGTAGTATATATGTGTGTTTAAGACTGAAAAAATAAATACACAATAAAATATATGAGAAGTGATTACCAGATGACAACCCATGTATCTTTCAAGTACTAATAATTGACCAAGGTTTACATGTCAAGAGTCTAATATAACGACTAAGTTATGTGACACCATATCTTACCTTATTTCTTATTCATTTACGAATGTTAAGTTGACGACTGCCAAAAAGTACGGTACTTTGTTCAGTCTATCTTTATGTTGATTACCTCGTAACACCAGACAGGAATGAAATGTTTCATGCATACTTATTTTAACTAGTGCATAGATACACCATAGTATCCGTCAAAACTACTTCATTGTTGCTAAAAATTGGCATAAACAACATTAATGCCTCAATACCGCTCAATACTCATTATGTTGTAACTAGCCGTGGTATGCAGGACTTCCTTTTTTTCTCATTTGGGACTCGTCAACTGAACATACCTGCACTCCAGTGAGTGTTGTTTCCACTGAGACTTGAATCCAGTAACCATCCCTTTAAATAGCAGAATCTTATTCACTGAGGCATGTGGGATACCTTTTGTGAAATGGAAATCAGTTGTTGTTTGACTGGCGTAGTTTCCCATTGCTATACAAGAGTTGGCTTTCGTGCCCCAGTGGCCAAGTGGATGACACTTTGCCATTCGAAGTGATCAGCACGGAGTTCAAGTTTCAATGAGGACAAGACCACTGTGGTATAGGTACATTCAGCTGACAAGCCCTAAACAGCACTAAGCACAGGTCTGGGATTTCACTACTTGTCACCTGAATGAATACAGAATAATGAAAAATATGATATTCACCACCGTTTTGTTGTTCCTGACATATTTGTAATACCTGTGCTATTTTTATCTTGTCAGCGAATTTTCTAACAGGATATCAGTGAATTGGACAAATTTAAATGTGATATAATCACTTATGCAACTCGTCATATCTATGGGACCGAAAAACAATAGCAAAATCAGATGGTGTGATATGTGTCAAAAAATATGATAACATAACGGTCCCAAGCTACTTGACACATATTGAAGCCATTCAAACATATCAGGAAATGATTCGATTGAAGTTCAAATACAATGATTTCAATGATTTTGATAGTGGAACTTAGCATTTTGGTCATTAATCTATCGTCAAAGTTGTCCCTTGGGTTCCCAGTAGAACGCAACGCTTCAGTAGCACGTCTCCATTCCACTCCCTTCTCTGCAATTTTCGCAAGTTGGCTTCACTACTGCCCACAAGCTTTCGTTTCCTCCTCACACTATCTCCTCCATGTCACCCTTGCCCCGAACGCCTAACTCGTCGTTTCCCATTCGAGTTCCACTCGACGGTCTGGTCGGGCATATGATGTCCCCAGACGGTCTTCTAACTGTATGTCCAATACAATACAATCCATCTCCAATTTCTTCTTCTGTATATTTGTTGGGTGATGGGTTCTTGCTACGTTGGTTCGTTGCCAGCCAACCAACCAGCCAGCCAGTCAGTCAGCCAGAGATCCTTGTTGCTTATTCTTATTATTCTGGCCATCCGACCTTCAGTGTCAGTACCGTGTGAGCGTAGGCGGCAGTTGTTGATGTGATATACGTCTGCAGTTTGTTGGAAATACTTTATGCAAGGCATCAAGTCTCTCAATCATCACACAGAAGCACTGACTGACTTGACTGAATTAGTGTTGAAAATCCGGATGTTGTTCACGCTTTGTGCTGAGTGCAGTGCAATGCAGTGGAGTAGATCTCCACACTGATTATTTCGGGTCAACGAAGGAAGGTCTGTTTTACTATCTTTCTGGTGCTGGCTTTGACATTCTCATCTGTGCCGCCGCCGTCTCTAGTCTAAGCGATGTAGGTAGGTAGGTAGGTAGGTAGGTAGGTAGGTAGGTAGGTAGGTAGGTAGGTAGGTAGGTAGGTAGGTAGGTAGGTAGGTAGGTAGGTAGGTAGGTAGGTAGGTAGGTAGGTAGGTAGGTAGGTAGGTAGGTAGGTAGGTAGGTAGGTAGGTAGGTAGGTAGGTAGGTAGGTAGGTAGGTAGGTAGGTAGGTAGGTAGGTAGGTAGGTAGGTAGGTAGGTAGGTAGGTAGGTAGGTAGGTAGGTAGGTAGGTAGGTAGGTAGGTAGGTAGGTAGGTAGGTAGGTAGGTAGGTAGGTAGGTAGGTAGGTAGGTAGGTAGGTAGGTAGGTAGGTAGGTAGGTAGGTAGGTAGGTAGGTAGGTAGGTAGGTAGGTAGGTAGGTAGGTAGGTAGGTAGGTAGGTAGGTAGGTAGGTAGGTAGGTAGGTAGGTAGGTAGGTAGGTAGGTAGGTAGGTAGGTAGGTAGGTAGGTAGGTAGGTAGGTAGGTAGGTAGGTAGGTAGGTAGGTAGGTAGGTAGGTAGGTAGGTAGGTAGGTAGGTAGGTAGGTAGGTAGGTAGGTGAAAGAGACTACTTCCTTCAGATTGCTTCCACTGATGGTGATTGGTGCTTGTTGTTGTTGGTGGTAGTTGAGTAACTTCATCACCCCTGTCTTCTCTACACTCACTTGAAGTCCTGTCTTCGCTGCCTCTTCTGTCAACTTGTTGGTTTTTGCCTGTAGATCTTCGAGTAGATGCAGTGATATTCTGTAGAAATTAGCATTTTCAATTTAAAAGTAATTCAATATGGGTGATAAATAACACTAAACTAAAAGGAAAATACAAGGAAAGCTACAAGGTGTGAATGAAATGGTATCTTTGTGGTGTGGTTCACGGGAAATTACTAGTTATTGATCTTGTTCATTTTAAATAAACCAATAAGGAAGCTAAAATGTCTATGTATAGTTCAAAGTAACTATCAGATCTCACTGATATTTCATTCTGACTACAAAGTAGCTTTTTAGAGAACATGCTTTTTCAGTTCATACTGTATGTTAACATAAAGGTCAACTAGCATCTTCATCGACTGATGTGACTCGAACATATACTGTACATTACTGAGCTACCACCTACTTCTAGATGCACTGCTATCAGAAGTTGAAAGGTAGGTAGGAAGAAGGCTTAGGGAGGCCAGAACAAGACATGATACCAATATATGAAGCTCCTGATCATTGGTGTAACTCGTGTAGGAAGGTTTAAACTATTTGGCTGGAGTTTTCAAGACGATAGGAATTAGTGTTTGAAGACTGATGAGATGGTTGAAAATAAATCACAGTGGCGTAAGTCTTTTCACCCTTTGATGTCTTCTAAAGGTTGAGTTTTTCGACCAACTTTAATTTTTAAATTCTTTCTTCTCCAATACACTATTTACAACATCAGTTGCTTTGTATCCGTTCATTCTTATGAGAGATTCTGTATTGTTTTTGTCTTGTCTTCCGTTTCGACCTGCACAAAGATCTCCTGAGTAACCTTCACGTACTATAAATATTATCTCCGTTTACTTACGTTACATACAGTTGATATACTTAATTGAATGCATGCAATTTCGCATGTCCCTGAACCTCATCAATCGTGTTTCATAATCTTGAAGTAGAATAGTGAACAGTAATGCTGATTATATATGGTTAGTAGTATAAGGTAGAAAAAGAAGAAAACGTCTTTATACATGTGAAGATAACATTGAATACCAACAACAATACTGGTCTCGACTCTCATTGATATCGTTGAGACTATTTAGTCGATGATTTCTCTTAGTCATGTAGAAATCTATCAGTGACTTCATGCCATTTTGATTGAAAAACATAAGACTCCATGATTTGGTATGATCTTTTATTTGAGAAAATTGAGAGAAGACTCTAACGAATTCAAACTTTATGAAATATCACGTGTCATGATAGTTGAAGGGGTATATATCAATAAAGCAGTCGGCAGCATGCTTAAACTTTGGGTTACTAGAAATTTTTCTACCGAATAGATTATATTGAACTGCTCGCTTTCAACTTGTTATAATCGTCCTTACTTGTCTTCAAACCACAGTATATACTTTCAAGTATATTAAAAACACTTTCAACCATCGCTTAGGGTTCTTAAATGCACAACAATATATTACTTATACTGGGTGAGGATTGAAGGTGAAATAAAAATTTGGACCTCTGTCGGATTTGAACCGGTATAAATAGTAGTCTGCCAAAGTACGGCTATCTCAGATAGTCAAAATGATTCTCCCTCTCCCCTTTAATTCAATCAGATTTGGATTAGAATGAGAAGTCCTCACTAGGCAGCCAGTGTGAATACGGTCAAGCGGTAGTAACGTGTCACGAATTCACATGGTGGTCGGGCAAACCATGCCTTGTGATTGACGTGAAATAAACATCTGGCCAGTAGTTGGACCTCGTAGTTCAGTCGGTGGAGCACCGGGCCAGAAACCCGGTGGTCGCTGGTTCGAATTCGACCGCGATCCAAATTTTTATTTCCCCTTCAATCATCGCCCAGTATAAATACAAGTCGGTCACACTACGGCTATCTCAGATTCAAATAGTCAAATGATAATATGTTATTTGTCTTTTCTTGAAATAATTAGTTTAAACTGTAAATTTTCATGCTGGTTGAGTGGACCACTA